TTTGAAGCTTCACAAGTTCAAGGCAAGCTTGGCACGTTTGGTCTGGAAAGAAATTGGTTTTTAAACAAATTGGCCAAACAAATACGGAAAGAAGCGGACGTTATACCAGTTTCAACTACTTCCTTTGGAAATAAAATTTGGATACTCGGAGAAATGGATCTGTCATCCATTCGGATGACAGATTCATTTCTCAGAAACATCCGAATCCAAGGTGAAACCGGATGTATGGGACAAAGAGGAATCCTACAACTTATATTTAAAAATGTATATATATATATAAGTAGTAGGATTCCCCCCCCCCCTCCTCCCACAACTAGCCCATCAGAATTCCCAGAGTTTTTTTTTATCACAGCGAAAAAATCCCAGCTTAAGGATAAACAACGGTTTATGACAGCACGTCAGCATGCCATTTTTTTTTAATGAGATGAAGCAAATGAATGGGAGGGATTTTGGCGGAAATAGGCCATTTGGGGCCGAAAAGAGACGTGGAATGGAACGTGACTGCCCCACAGCTTTATGGAATCAAAAGACGGGAGTAAAAAAGAAATACTGGGGGCAAAAATGCTATTGGGGGCATAAATACGCTCGGGGTCACAAATATTTTTGGGACACTAATGCTGTTGGAGTCGTAAATACTGCCGGAAACACGAAGGGGCAGAACGAGTTTTCTCTCGGATTCCCTTGCGATCGGCTCGAACGAGGCGGCAGGGGATCCATCCGAGACTCGGTTCGAATCAGGCAGATCCCAGGACTCTCTCAAAATCTTGAACTATTTTGAGATTCAAGCCGACGAGTGAATTTTGAAAATTCTCATAAACACCAACAAGCGGAAAACGAGATGGCGAAACGGAGCTTAATCATGCATGATGAAACTGACTTCCTGCTGATTCGCAATTTCTGTTCTTCTAAAGGGTTATACCCAGCTTTAAATGCCCATTTCCTAATGTCAGAACCAACTGCTATCCTCAAATGAGGCCTACATGCATTGCCAAGTCCTACACAGTTAAATAATAGAGTTAAGGTGAGGGGAGGAAGAGAAGTGGTTATCGCCTCTGCCAAGAGATGGCAGCGGGAACGGGATGACAACCACTGCGGGTGACACCAGTTCATCCCGAGAACCTCCATACCACGTTCGTCCGCGATGTCTTAGGATGTCTCTCGACGCGAAATGCACAGATATTTCAACATTCGTGGCTTATTCGACCTGCCTTGCTGCTTCTCGAATGCCAGGACGACCGGATTGTCCTCAATTGCCCTCGTATGTTTAAAAGGAGAAGAGGGATCTAGCGTCAACGTGGCCATGGAGAAGTTCGATCGTTTAATTGTTCGGCGACTTCGAATATTTATTGCTCGATGTGCTAAGGTCGAGATCTTCTTGGCATTTGAGGAGCCACGAGGAGCCGTGAGGAGTCACGTGGGCCTCCACTGCGTCGAGGTGTTACCAGACGTAGAGGTCTTCCATTTCTGGCACTCTGGTGGCGATCGACGAACCCGAGGAAGTGTGCATTAGAGGTTTTGTGAAACTTCGAAAGGGCAATGCATGCCGGCCCACGCGATCCTGGGAGCGTGCGGGTCGGCGGGCCGCCCAGGGACCAAATATATGGGGGCATGCCTTGCTTTTCCTTAGAGCGAAAAGTCATGAAAACGTTCAAACTTTTTTTTTTACTCTCCTGATTTCCTCCAAGGTCGCATTGGTGACTTCGGAACGAAAGATCGGATTTGGGGGGATTATCTATAAGTCTCATCTATCCCGTAGATCCAGAAGCACGTGATTGGGATTGCTGTTTCATGAGTTTCTGAAGAGCTTGGTCTCGGTGCGACGGTACGCCTACTTGGTACATCGACCTACAACTTGTACTTAAAGTATTTAAAAGTAATTAATTCCCACGCACGCGCGCAAGACCAGAGCAAAAACTACACGAGGAATTCGGTCGAAGGGGGCTCCGAGGAGGTCTAAAGTACTCATCTGATACCCTAAGTACCAAAAGCGTCTCGTAGAGAGGCAGGAGGACCGACCGGGACAGAATGCCGGACGAAGCGACAGAAAAAGGGCCGGACGTACGGAAGGGAGCAGAGCAATAAAATCGGATCGTGTGGGAGCCGGACGCCCAAAGGAATGGCGATGGGGATCGACGCGTCGTGACCATTCGTCAAGGGGGTCCCCGACGTCCCGTGCATTTTACGACTTCATGCTGCAAGGGGCGATTGGGCGATACGGGAGGTCGGTCGACTTGGGGGGCCAGGGGCAGGTGGGGGGCAAGTGGGGGGCAGGTGGGGATTCTCGACCCTTCCGCTTTTCGAGCAACATTTTTACGATCAATAAATGATAAATTTTTTTCAGTTCAATAGGTTCATCAAAATAATTAATTACTACCGGTAAATCCTCGCTCCATGTCAAGCCAGCTCACATGCAAAAAAGCATCCGCAAGTCGAATTGGTCTGAGTAATTTTGACCATGTGGCGCTGAACTTCAGCGAACTTGAGCAGCATTCAAATTTGCGGAAATATTCAAGAATTGCGACGTCTTCCACCAACATTTAATCCCTTTTCTTCAGAGCAGTCTCAGCGACAGAGTTTAGAATAATTTATCGTTACTTTTTTTTTAAGATACTCCGCCAAAAATTTTTTTATGCCACAGGAGTTCACTTATAAATTTGTAAACGGTAAGGACACTCTGAACATCATGGTATCTCCTTCCGCAACAGAAAATTTTGTTTCCTCTGGTTTGCAATGACGACTTGACCTAAAGTTGGTCACTTTCTGCTACTTTCAGATTGCTACATCTCTGGAAGTACTCGATGGGGGGGGGGGGGGGGGGGGGGGGGGGGGGGGGGGGGGGGGATGCACCCGGGGTGTCCATTCGGAATGTGAGCACATCCTGATTCCTAACTTCCCGACTGGAATCCCAGGCATCAGGATATCATTAAACCGGGCTTTCCGACCGATATAGATGTCGGGAGGAAACCTGTTTTCGTACGGAACGCGTGGAGGGTTCCGGAACTCGCGGAGGGTTCCGGGCGACCTGGGTCAGGGCGGGGATTGCGACGAGAATTGCGACGAAATGGATTAAATCTCCGCTTGCGGGGAAACGACATTCCGCTTGCGACGGGAATTTCGGACTCGATTAGGTTCGATCGGATTCGTTAAATCCGATTTTATCCGATTTAGCGATTTTCATCCGTCGAGCGTGACTGTAGGGTTGGATTCCTGCGCGCTTCAAGTTGGAATTCGTCGCAGTTTTTCCTTCTTTTCCGACCGGTTTTCTGCCTCGTTCCGAATTTTAAACTTCAGCTAATTTTACCTACTATTTCACGCAATCGAAAGTGTCGCGAATCGGAGGTTACCAGGCAACACATAGGCAACATAGGCAACACAGGTGTTGCTTTTTCATTTCTTCATTCAAGCTGAATTTTCTCAAATCCCTTGACATCGCTGAAGAAGCGCTCGTATTTTTGCAGACACCAACCTGAACACTCATACATTTTCAAAACGGCTTATCCCACCGGCCGGTCATTTTAGATTGGAAGAATCTTCGGGAGTCTTCGAGAGTCTTGTCCAGGAAACAGGTGGGCCACAGCAGAGAGATAGGAAGAATAGGCAAAGGAACAGGAGGAGCAAATAGTGCAAAGTACAAGTACAAAACCCCTCATCGGGAAATATGAGAACCTATTAACACTGTAACAACCGTTCTAGGTCCAATGGACCCTGACGCAAATATTTAGGCATTTGTGAAGGCTGCGCCTTGAACCTCAAAGATCGATACTCGAGGTATTTTCCCGAAGACACGTTAAAAATAATTAGGCTAAGTATTTTTAAGGGATCTTTTCGAAAACGGGGTGAAACGAAGAGTTAAACAAGTGACCATCCGGGCTCTGGTAAGTACAGGGTTAAAGATCGCGCCCCCCTCTCCCCCCCCCCCCTCCCCCCAAAGAAGTCCCCGCTGATCGATCTCGACCGCTCCCCTGCCCGGATCGATCCCTTCGCTTCATCCACATCCTCCAAAGAACTTTCTCGCCTGGGAATCCAAGTCGCACGAAGAGCTCCTTGGCCCCCATGCTCCCTCGAAGCAAGGGAAAAAATGCCTCATCCGTGAAGGACCTGGAACGAACGGGACCAGACTCCCTGCTCTCTCACGCCGAAGTGGAAAGTCTCCTAGCCGTCAGGTCAGCCCAACGTCACCCCTAGGTCTTCCGTAACCCTTCTTTCGTATCGAACCGTTGGCCCCTGCTGTAGCTACCTTACCCTAATAAACCTGGGCAGCTCTGAAGGAGACAGGGAGAATATCAGGCGCATCACAATCAAGAAATTTCGCACACTTCTCGATTTTTTAAATTGATTATTTCACTTAATTTTTTTTCATGCGCTGCAAGTTCCAGGCCCGGAATTGAAGCTTTCCAAGGATTTTGGCTTAAGCTTAAGCATCCAAGCTTAAGCATCTGCAATCGAGTCATCATCCAGGTCAAAGATGATTTTAAAAAATGAAAAATTTCGACATATGAGGTCTAATACAATATTTTTTTTTATTCATTTGCCGGTGTAGCACGGGGTTCTAATTTCAACAGTGAAAGGAAAACAAAAAAAAACGAAAAATTTTTCACAGAAAAAATAGTGAGCAAGGGCAGAGAGAAACTCTATAAGATAGAGGCCAAGGAACTTCGAGTCACTACAAATCTCTCGAGATTTGACAAATCTGATAACAGGAGAGCAATCTTTTAATAAGATATACCTCTAATTCTCACGCGTGAAAAAAAAGTGGAAGGCATGAATAATATACACTCATTCGGGTGAGTAAATATCCTTTCACTCGATCGACTCTACGAACGATACCGCATGGTAACGATGAGGATTCATCAACGATCGGGTCTTGGGAGGGGAAAATAACGGAAATCAGATCACAGTCAAAACGGCAGCCACCGCGTCCCGGTGCGTCGGACAGCATTGCAATCGAGGAATCGGGGAGAGAGAGGAGCGTCGAAAAAAAAATCCGTTTCGGAAAGGACTCACGAGATGGCAGGAGAGGACGGAGAGGGCGGGGATCCGCTCCGGCCGCTCTTCCGCTTCCGCTTCTTCCCGATGTCGCCGAGGCGGCGGAGCTTCCGCCGCTGCCCGCCGGGGGAGCCGCCGTCCTTGTCCTTCTCCTTCTCGGCGAAGGGGAGCGGGGGCACGCGGGGCAGGGCGGGGAGCTTCACGTCCTTGCTCGAACACGGCTCCGGGGACCGCGGAGAGTCGGACTTGGACCCGGCGCCGTTCTTCACCTTCAGGAAGGACAGGGCCTTGCTCCGTGGCTTCGGGATCTTCACGCCCTTCATCTTCGTCGCCGCGGCCGGGACCGACGCTTTGGGCAGCGGGGCGTTGGTCGCCGCGACGACCGGCGGCGGGTCCGCGGACTCCGCGAGCAGCACCGCCAGCGGATCGTTCTCCTGGTTGATCTTCCGCTTCAGCCGCTTCTTCTTCGGCTTCCTCCGTCCCCCGCTCGCCGAAGCGGTCGACGGCCGCTTCGCCCTCATCGCCCTCAACCTCAACGCCGGCGGCTTCGGCAACTTCGCGTCCTCGATCTGCACCGTCGCCATCGGCAGCGGCGTCGGCGTCCCCGCCACCCGCCTCGGCGGCGCCATCCTCGTCCGCTCCTGGTCCATGGAGCTCTCGGACGCGGAGCGGGGGCGGGGCGGGGGCGTCGGGCACCTGGACGGCGGCCCCGGCGGGGTCTTCACGTAGAACACCGGCAGGAGCGACGACGACATGGACTCCGGCGACGCCAGGTACTGGGTCAGGTACTCTCGTAGGCCCTTCAGATCCCGCCAGGGGCTCTGGCTCAGGCGGCTATACGGATTGTTACCCGACAGGTCGAGGATCGAGACCGCCAGGTTCTGACCGACCTGCAGGATCGAAACCAACCGGTTTTCACCTCATCCAAGCCTGTTCTAGATTTACAAGCACTGCACACGTCTCACAGTTTTTATGCCGAAAAGAAACACAAACCAAGAAAAATTCGCTCATTATTTTTTAATCATTAACCAAATCCTGTATCAACTTCTTTCCTGAACAAATGATGCACAGAAAAGCAAAAAAATAAGGATAATACATTTACAACGAATCCGCCAAAAATAAACATCTGCTTGACGCACCCAGCGACGCCCGAACCCAACGCAACAAACAAAAGCCGCGTCGACGATCCAAGGACACCAGTTACCTCTCGGTACACCTGCGACGTGTACTTGACGAGCCGCCCCATGTACACCGGCTGGCACGCCTTGTTGTCCGGGAAGGACACGTTGGGCGGGAAGGACGGGAGGCTGTTGAGGCACCGGCCCGAGAAGTAGTTGCACTCCAGCGTGTAGCACCGCGCGTGCCCGCCCGTCACCTTCGACAGGTGCACGCGCCCCGATCCCTCCTTGCTCATGCCGTGGATCCTGGAAACGATCCAGTTCTACTATCTCACGCTCGATGGCTTTTCGGTAGGAGAAAATCACACTGGGATTTCACTCGGCGACAGAAAGAATGAAATCGCAGACTTTTTTTCAAATATTATTATTATTATATATCGTCGATATTCCACGCAGGTTTGCAGAAGTTTTTGCAGTCGTGCTTGCATTTTCCAATCCCTCACTTCAAGTCATACTTCCACAGTAGCTTAATTTAATAAATTGGGCTTGCAAATAAATACATCCGTTTACTTTTCGCTTCTTCGTTCAGTAATCAGTCCCATGACAAGGTAAACCTTTACTCGCATTTACCGCCAATCGAATAACAGAGGAAATTAGTCGAGTCAAGCAAAATCACCAGGTAAAAGAAACGAACTACAACAGTTACAACGGTAGAAGCGCTTGAAATCGTGACTGTGTCTACATTCTTACTTTCTCTGATTTCTCCCCCTGCAAGAACGGAATGACTTACAGTAATAACAGTAACATTACTTGTAACACATCACTACCCAGCTTAGATGGCAGAACGCATACTAATGAGGATCAAGGCACGTGGTTTTTTTTTTCTTTCACTTTCTCTCCATGTCAGTGATGATGAGGATTTTGTATTACCACCATGCTATATTGTACATACATCAATGAACATTAAGATCTCCAAAAAGGTTTCTTGCTGAGCTGTAACATAATCATGTTTGGATTGGAGGCTCTGAAATTTCATTTTAAAAAAATACATATTTGTGCAACTTTCGAAGTGACCACAGGTGAATTCTGTTCAGTCTCCTCCTTCTGGTTTCAATGTATGTAAAATAAAAAATATTCAGAACGACCAGTATTTTGAAGACAGTTTTTCAAATGAAAAACAATATTGTTGCTGATCCATGACTTTTCCTCCTCTTCCCCATTTTAATTTTGCCCTCTTGCTCCAATAACCACACCACCATACAAGCCTTTAAAAATCATTTAAAAAAATAAACTACAAAGTTTGCCAATACTTTAGTCCCTGCTTTCGGAGCCGTTACAAAATCAACACGCAAGCACCTCTACGAGGCTACAGCCGACACAAAGGAGAGGCACGAAAAAGCGCACGTCTCGTACCGAGTGTTGGACTCCCGAAAGTTGCAGCCACGGAAGTCGAAGTGCGGGGAGTTGAAGGTGAGGAGCTTGGGCAGGAGGAGGGCATCCACTGCTGCCTCCATCTCCTTGAAGTAGTTCCCAAACATGAACGTTCCTGGTGGAAACAGATCATAACAGTCATGTGTGAATCACTTTCATTTGGAATTCCTTATAAAGAACAGCAATTAGGGTGGTCTTAATCCTGTAAATCTTCAGTGAGGGCTCTCATACCCTTCGCAAGAAAGTAGGGATTAGGCTTTCTATTAACAACTTTCACCTCAGAGCCTTGGGCACTCCACAGTTCCTACATTCCTGCCTATTGCATATGCTGCCACATGAATCAAGTTCCATACCATCCAGTTCTTCTTTTATTGTTTTGTGCAAGCATTCTTCCAACTTGCACCAAGAACAGTGGACATTGCTTCAAGAGCAGCTACCAAACATCCTAGAATGAAGACCTGCATTTCTAAGCATTGGCTCTCATTTGGGGCCCGAATCGGGTCAGTTTGACCGAGATCGAGATCCGAAACAGATCTGATACTTCTACATTTGAAAAAGGTCTACCAAATGGTGATGAGCATAGGGTCACCGTAACAAGAAGGCGGTGAACAACGAATGCGTCAGGCACAAGGCAAACTCTGTAGACTTCCAAGAATCATGTTACTAACCAATTGAATCACTAACTGAAGTGAAAAAGAGTTTTTCAGGAAAAATCGGAGGAAAAAAATGACAGAATGTACTTCACCTCTCTTGGAGGCATGCCCATGAAGATCGATGTAGGCGTAGATCCCCGATTCCTCGGTGACCCTGAGATCATTGGGCCTGTCCACATCAGACCGCATCTTTTTGTCAGCCCAGCTCTTGAGGAAGTCGGGGAGGCAGCTGGATTCCTCCTCTTTCAGCTCCTCCTGCCAGCAACCAAATCATGTAATAGAGCCCATCAAGCCCCTTCAATACTTGAAGTAGGAATTGGAAAGTTTAGGAAAGGGCTGAAAGTATGACCAGTAACCTATAAAATATGAAATTCAAATTATTCACAAGCTGCTTGTCTGATTTATTGAATTCTAATTGGCTTATAAATCTCCCTCCTGGCCTGGCAACAATTTTTACTTCTTTTATATACATCTAAAAAACTACAGAAGAGAGTAATTTCAAATTTCACATCAAATTTTGTTTTGTCTTGTCATTTGCAACAGAGTAACATGAGGAGTGCTACTGAAATTTTATTCATCAATTAACCTTTACTGCAATTTTATGACACCTCACAGGTACAGTTAATTAATGATGAATGCACCACCCAGTCAAGCATGATACCATCATGAAGATTTAAGATTTATTTATATTCAACTAATCATGCCAACTTTTTAACAATTACACCTTCAATTGAGTGATCCTTTAAACCAAACAAACTAGATTAGCCACAAAGTATTGGCTGATGCAAAGGTAAACCTTTATACTATCCTCTATGGAGAATCAGGGAAAAGTTAATAAGCCCTTTCCTTGCTTTGGGCAAGACAAATAGGAGAGCAATACATTAACTAGTTCTTTGTGTGATTCTTTGGTGCCCTGGTAGCCTGATGCACATGTATGAAAATTTCTGAAATGAAATTACTGAAGCATTGTTTCATTGACTCTCCCCTTTGTCAAGAAATATTTAGACATCATTTAAGCATGTGATCCAGACCTTAGGATGGTCGCTGGAGGAGAGACATGGGAATGCAAATTGTGTCTCCTCATCCATGACAGGGGTCTCAGAAACGGGACCCGGGTTGGATGGGGAAGGGGGTGGAGGTGGAGGTGGAGCAGGTGGAGGTCTGGGATTGATCTGGTGGGACGAAGAATCTGTTGGGTAGTCTGTGTCCCGGCTGGAAGTCTCCAAGTTGGGGAATGCACTCTCCGAGTCATAAGATTCGTCTCCAAGTTCGAGCTTGGTTCGAGCCATTCTTGGAACACTGGTACTGGTATGTGTATCCTCTGTTCCTTTGCCTTCTGCTCTCACACATCTGTCGTTAAAAAAAAAAATTAAACATTTTTAAAGCACTCATACTAAAACTGACATTGCTCACAATGTTTGGAGGACTTGAACCTCACTTTAGCATTAACTTTTTGAGCTTGTCAGTTGAACTGGCTTTTCATCCTTCACTCCCAACAATGTCAATACCTTGCAAGCCCTTTCAAAGTAAACTGGCCTATTTGCCCCTCCATTTCCAAGGTTTTGTCATAGTCCACCACTGCTACCCAAAGATCTTATTCTCAAAAACCTCACAAAAGGGCAACTGAAATTTTCTGGGATTTTTTTCTCACTCAGTAGTTCCTGTGGGAGCTGAACCAATATTCTGGACAAGATGGTATAGTACAGCAGTGATATCTGACTTTGGGAAGAGTTTGGATGCATGTTCAGTGATTTGCATGCCATTTTTTGTATAGATGATTTCGGCACTCTGATAAAAGATGCTTAATTTGAGCAGAGAGCACAATTGGTTTTTGGTGGAGGTGGTTGAGAAGGCAGAACAAAACAAGTCTTTTCAGGACCACATGGAGATAACTATAAACTTACTCACCCGAAAAATCCCCTGCCCCTCCCCCCCCAACAGCCCAGATCTTGGTTCTTTATAATTTTCATGTTCTATTGACAGAAAATTTGAAAAAATAATTTCCTTAAACATATATCTTCCATTATTAGCAGTTTTTCAAAGGGTATAAAATACCCCCAGAGACTAGTTAGCTGGGGGGATTGAAATTTGTCCAAGTTAGGGGATTAAATTGGTTGCCTCATTGGCAAGTATGTCAAGAAACAAGTTATGAGAAGAAAAGTCTTCAAAAGAATAATACAGCATGCAGAGACAGAGTGGTCGGACCTGCATGCCAGAGGTGAGAACTTTTGGAACCCAAAGCCAAACTTGAGGGAGGTGAGTTTCTCGTAAAAGTCCAGCTGAGCCTGGGTCTTCTTTTTCAACGGAGCCGGCCACATGCGACTTGGTTCAAAGTGCTTGGCAGGAATGTCGTTCCCGGCATTGAGGGTGCTCGTCTTGACAATCGGAACATCGGCGGGATCACAGCCGGCGAGTGGTTCTCCCATTCCCATGCCTGCATCATCCGAATCACTCCCCACTCCACCGATGGTCTCTCTTTCCAGAGCCTGCAGAGCCCACCATGTAATGTTCAATGGGGTTTCGAGATGAAGTACTCATACCACCATACAAGCAGATTGATAGTCAAGTGCTACATCATACGCCCACTGAAAACAAGCACAGGTACTTATACAAAGTGAATACAGGCTAAGAGGAGTCTTGAGCATTCAATTTGAGAGTATGGAGAACATCTATGCTAATTTTGCAAATTTTGTTTGATTAACATATCTTCATTAGAAAAGCCATAATTTATGTAGTTACAGAAGAGTTAAATAAAAACTGAAGTCATTCAGAAAGCAAGAATATCACCAAAGACACTATCAGTTGATGACACTTTAATTCTTTGAGTACAGAACACTCCTTAGAAAATCAGGAAACTCAGCTATCAGATACAATGCATCGTGTCATATTTCTTGCATACTGAGTACTGTATACTTTTATAAATTAATTGTAGGGCAAAAAAAAAATGGTAAACAGAAAACAAACCACTACTTCCTTATAATCACCTATTCATTTACTTTGCCATTTTACAGGTTGGATATATGCAAACCAGGACCACCTATGTCAAGATGAATATAAAATTCAACCAGCTCCATTACACTACAAGCTTCAATTTCTGCCAATCCACTCTGGTAGGCTTAGTTTTACTAGATTGCATGGATCTTTTTTTAAACTAAATAATGAACCCATGTTCTTACTGAAAACAACATAATAGGAGAGGACTGACATTCAAGAAGGGAGAGGAAGGAACAGTGAGGAAGGAGCCAGAACGACTTGCAGCCGACATGCTGCCTGTCAGGTGGAAATCATCGTTGCGGATGCTCGTCCAGGTCGAGCTGCTAGTCTCTGCAGACGCCAAGCTCTGAGATTCAGAGGACAGGGGCTGTGCCACTGAATCAAATAAAGAGCTTGAAGTCTCCCAGCTGTGCAGGTTTGGCACCGACAGGCACGGCTTCACCGAGGGTGGCTCCATCCCAGCACACTGCTGATATGGAACCCCTGAGTCACGCTGAAAGTATGACAGAAGTCCATTCACAGTGAGGGCAATCATCAGTCATGTAAATTAAATAAAAGTGGAAACTTAGGAATGTGAAATCAATATCAGACTACAAGGCCATGTTTGCATTTTCTTTCAAAGAAACATCCTCAGCTTCTTTCAACAATTTCATGAAACTATCTGGAAATATATGTATGCAAATAACCAAGAGGAGGTGTGAGGTAGACTCAGACAATTAATAATGGCAACTGCAAAAGCTCATGTACATAAAATAGTTTTTAAGCTGCCTTTCAATGTTTGAATGCAGAGAATATAAGTCCTAGCTCCAGACCTTCTGCTGATGGTGATAAAGAAAAATCTTGCGAGCAGCAAAAACAGTCGGGTGATGATGGGGGCACGGGTCGACATAAATGCGATTGAGGTTCACCCCACGCTGGTCGGTGCGATAGTGACCCCGAACGACCCCATCTGGATTCAACATCGGGATGAGCTTGAACACAAATTGGTGGCGGAGGAGAGCTGCCCTTGGGTCTTTCTCATTCAGGAGGAACTTGAGGAACCCATTGAAGACATAAGAGGCCTGCACCTCCCCAGGGTGCACCCGTGACGTGAGGAACACCACCTTCTTCTTTGGAAAGCATCTGGGACGTGACAGCAGGGTCTCCTCCTCCTTTGGCACTGCCAATAGCCTGTGATGCAACAAATTAAAATGTTGCATACCAATCATCATAACTGCATTTCATATTGCACCATCAGCTTCTTTTGCCACTTTCATGAGAAGAGAAGATAGGTCCAAAATCACCCAGAAATAGGACAATAATCATAATCATTAAAATCAAAATCATAAAAAAAAACAGAAGGAAACAGACTGGCTTGGCAAGAAGACTGAGATGTCAAATGGGTCTTCGCACAAGTTCGATGCACCATCATTGGAAGTCACAGTCATCATGTCCACGCGCCTCCCATCCAAGCTGTAACACAGGGTCTCGCGGAAGTAGTAAATCCCACGAGGGTTTGGGGGAGGAGTGAGGCTACGGGGCTGGGGGTAGCGCTGGTCCAGTCGCAACAGGATGTCCTCCAGCTTGGCATAGTTGTGAGGGTAAGTGAAAGCAATGTAGGACTCTGCCCCCTCCATGCTCGGCATACGGAACTGGAACCTCACGGTGAAAGCCGATTCTGTGTTCTGCAAAAAAGGACAATGGTTCACTCTATAGGTCTTCATTTTTAGCAGATGCAACAGCACCATCATCAACCCTATAATAGGTTGAATCAAGACAAAACCTCAAACTGGTTTGCTGCAATACACACTAGTGGAGAATAAGACAAGAAATTTGGTATGGACTGAAGGGGGAAATGTGCTAACAATTTGTGGGAAGAGGAGCTCCATAAAGAGAGACAGCTCTGCTATACCAATAGGTGCTATAAACTTGTTATGTTAAAAGAAGCAACATCACTTTCCAAGTAAATAAAGTGGAATCATACAGATAAACATATACATTCTTTAAATGGTTCCTTCCCTTCCAATATGGTCAATAAGGACAAGGAAAATAATCTGTGCCATGTTTTTGTGATGTCAAAATGTTTGAGTATGATCAAACCACAAGAATTGGGGAGACATTTGTGGTCCAAATCCACACATTTTAAACAGGGATGCTTCGAAACAGGATTTCCCGATACCAATTCCAGTCAAATGATGTTGGCAACTCAGAACTGATCCTAAATCTGTTAGTAAATGTTCGCTTCATTTCTATTTTGTTTGTTTTTTTTCCACAGTAATGGAGCTATGCCATTACCTAACAGATTTGGGATCAGTTTTTGTTTTCCATCATTCCTTGTTATATTCAATATTCAACTTTCCCATCTAGACACAAGAAAAGTTTCAAATTTCTGTGTTGAACTTCTACATATGGCGGAATGGCATACACCAATGGACAAGATCCAGAAAACCAATCCAGTTTAGGTGCAGCTACAATCATATTGCTCTCCAACTGCTGCATTCTCGCAGTTAACATAACTTAGAAGGCCTTAGTAAAACTAGTACTTCTTCAGAACAGTCTTGAACATTTCTGTTGAACATGCAGACAAACCCATTCTTGTGATTAAAATATAAATAAACACAAAAAGTCCAATCTAGTTACATTTGACCTAAACACTACAACCCAAGATGGATTCCAGACTTTCTACAATGTAGCAAAACATCATTTGCTATGGCTGCTGAGAGCAAGCAAAGTCTTTTCTTATTTTTCAAGCTAAATTACACCAGTAACTCAAGTAAACAAGATCTTGCAATGAGTGAGATTGTTGAAGACATGCCATGTAACTGGATTCACCAATACCTCACCATAAAGTCTTTTTCCTATGGCAATCCAAGGAGAAAGCTCACCTAATGAACTGACACCCATTACATGCAATGTTTAGTTTTCAACTTAAACGCTTGCAGGACTAAATTTCTCAGTCATCAAAATAACCACACCTGGTCCATTTAGGTAGAATGTGGGTCATGCGGAAGGGCATATAAGGAATGATTTATTTACTGTTGCAGTGGTGTGGTAAACAAGATTTGTGACAAACTTAATGAGTTTCAAGTGAAAGTGGGCATTAGCTAGAATTGAAAACCACATAAAACTTTGTAGGCAGTTGAAATGACTGCAATGATCCTTATGTACTAATCTTCCAACTTGGAATTTTAAAATCAAGCTGCATAACAAACTCAGCAGCACACAGGGAATACCATGTTAAGACCTAAAGAGACAGGTTTCATTTCCTAAAACCCTCCACCAGGTACACCAATTTCATTCAAAATCTCAACTTATAACTATATACCAAAATTTTGATTGATCCTTAACCTACTATCTTCAACCTCACCTTTCATTGGCATATAGGACATACTAGCACTTCCCTGTGAGGAGTAGTTCTAACTGAGTACTTTATCAATCACTGCCTGTACTGCTCTACCAATGAAGATGCTTAATCTATCTTACACATATATGGATCAAGTTTCCTTTAGGTAGCCTGGAATTTTGAAATTACTCATTGGAAGGAAAGGCATTATTGCTGCTGTACTCAAATGCAAATCCACCGAATGCACACGGAGACAGACCTCGAAGGACGTCTTGCCGGGGATGCGTTCCCACTGCCGCTGGACCGGGAGGACCATGAACACGGGGCTCATCCCTTGTGAGAACAGCTTCTTCTGACGGTTCAGGTTCATGAGATTCAGTTGAAGGAGACATCCTGGTGGCCCTCCTGAAACAAGAAATTCGAAATGGAGACACATCTGAAGCAGAGGGCAATTTGCAGCGAGTTTCCTGGCAAGAGGCCTACCCTTGAGACCGAAGCAAAACCATGTCCGATTCTTGTTCTGGAATTCAGTCCCAGCACAGTCTGGTGAGGTCCAGAGGTTGAACTCGAACTCGGGACGCTTCTCCACCGAAGGAGTCTTTCCTAGGAAAGGGCGCTTCAGCACCTTCCTCTCGACCGAGGAAGATCCGGACGATGACTTCGGTGAACCTGACAAATTAAGGCAAGCTACAGTCATCTCTCAAAAGTGAAGACTCAATCAAAACCAACTATTGACCTGAACTCAGTTATCTTGGGCCTCAACTGAATACCTATTACTGCTTGTAAGGCAGGAGTTATTAGGTATACTGGTCCAGATAGGCATAAGACCAAGCCAAATGTAATGCCTACGCACCTGCCAGTGCATTAACCAAGGGCTTCGGCCAAAATAAGGAAGCATCTAAACAGGGAAAATAAACTTGGACTGTGACCTAACTCAGAAAGGAGCTAGATCTAAGATGCTATGTCAGGCAAAGACCTATAGGCCCAACGTTAGGCCTGCCATCCAAGATGCGAAAGTGCACCGACCTCCAGAAGGGCTCCCATAGGGCGAACAAGGCGATCCAGACACCTGATACGACGTTCCCAACCCGGGATAATCGACGACGTTAGTAACAACATTCACACTGCTCCTGTCCACGGACGATCGCACCAACTCGACTCGCGCGAGGTTCCCGCACTCGAAGTTGCAAAAAAAGGTGAACCCCGCGACCTTGAACACGTTCTCCTGGTTCGAATACATCGAAACGGACCGACAGAGCCAGCAGAAGCGAAAACGGGCCCCCAAAACACGCGAAGGAACCGAAGACCTCACTCTCCCCCCCTGCCTATGGCTGACCCCATCGTGTGTAGCCTAGGGTCACGCCATCGTGTCCGACGTCACGACCAGTCGGGCGCGACATCTAGCCCAACGTCTCTCGAAGCTTCGGTTTCACTCCTCTCGTGAAGATGTCGTCATCGACTCGGTTCCTAAAGTTGGTCCTCGAAAGACTCTCTCCTCCTCTCGTCCTCGTTCGGAACCCGAAACGAATTCGGCGCCGAAAAAGACCAGCAAAATTTCCATCGAAAGTGGACATCGCGAGGGAGAAAAGCGACCGCATGCCTCGGCGAATCGAGAATGCAACGAACGTAGGCCTACGTCGATCTCTAAGTCGTTGTTTATTTCTCTCGTTTACATTAGTCTCCACGGCCACCCGATAGTAGGACGAGCGAAAATACAGTCACCCCCTTCCCCCGTCGACGATGAGCGCCCTCGCTCCGTGCCTCGCTCCGTGCCTCTTCCTGTGCCTCGCCCTCGCCCCCGGAACCAGGGGACGGATGCCCGTATCCCCCCGCGCGGAGACGAAGGAGCCGGCGGAGGGGCTGAACGCGACGGACCGACGCCTGGAGGCCCTCGATCTTCGCCTGGAGTCCCACGATCTTCGCGTGGAGGCCCTCGATCTTCGCCTGGAGGCGCTGGAGCTGCGTCTCAACCGGACGGTCACGGCGCTTCTGCAGCGGCTGGACCGCGCCGAGAGAGTCTTCGCCGCGCTTCACAAGCCCGGTCTGCTTTCATATAGCCTTCTATGCGTGCGTGAGCGCGTGGCCGTGCGTGGCCGTGCGTGTGCGTGCGCGCAATAATCATGCCTGAAAATCTCCGCTTCCGGCAACGTCGGTCGACCCTCGAGCCTCGAACGAGTCCTTCGACAACAAAAGGCCACGTAATGAAGGTCAAGAAGCGAAGATGCCTCTCGGGTCGAGCGGATGAAGAAAGTTTCGAGCTCGCTTTCGATCTAAAGGCCCCCCGAGAGAATTC